CTGTTACAGATAAATGTCGTGCAACAGACATGTTGTGGAAGAGGCCTGAACATCCTCTTCTCAGCTGAAACCAGTCACACTCGAAACATCTGTTCTAACATATTTAACCACACACCAATCACATGCTTTGTTTTGACATATGCGGTGAGGCTGCAAGTCTGGTCATCTTGTTTCCCTTCCCTAGTGCAGTCTCAGCTGGTGTAACATAGGGAACAACCCGACTTTAATAAATAGCTGAGACTGGCAGAGTGGGTTGGAGATTGTAGCTGTACAGTCTTCCTACTTTCCTCGCAAGTAAAAAGAATTCTGACTCTGTGCCTTTCTTTCCTTGTTTGTATAATGTTTTAGGTGTTCAGACCTGACATTATGATCTTTTATATTTTGTAATCTTTAAGTCAGAAGCTATACTACTCTTTCTGTTCATCTATTAACCTGCCTGCACTAAATTATCTTTAAGATACAGTGAGGATATTAGCTGCTAATTGCTAGTTAGATTAAGAAGATGACCTAACCCTAACCTCAGGATTTGTATCTATCGGGTAGGAATCCCATGTATTTTGTCTCGGTGCTTTCCCATGACTGAAACCTCTGAGACAATCAGCCTGAGAGAAACTGCACTACAGTACATCCAAAGTCCAGCCGGTGGTGGTAAAGGGAACATAAAACAGCTTCTCCATTTCCTTACAGTGTCAAGTCCGAGCAGCTACAAATAAATCCACAAAAGGTTTAATCCCTAAAACGTTTAAATATTTGACATTATATATATTTTTTATCAACCTGCATCTCGCCAGAGTTGCTTCATAAATGCATGATTAGTTTAAAAAAAACTACTAAAAATGTATTAACCCTGTAATTATTTTATTATAATAATAATAACCAGGTAAATCTCAGATGTCATTAGCACAAACAGAAAATAATTTTAGTCAAGATATCATTTATTTAAGGTAAAGTTAGTCAACATATACAATTATTATTAATTATTATTAATTATTATTATATAATTATTATTATTATTATTGTGAACAAATATTTTAGACTTAGATTTAGACTTACAAACTTTGTCATCTTGTATACACAGAGTGTTGCAAAACAAAATTGTGATAGGTACAGCTTTTGACAGTGAATGAGCAGCTCACAACACTTAAATTGAACATTACCATTTATAAAGTGCTGCAGTGATCAGAATGTAAGCAGTGTAAGAGAAAAGGAAAACCAGTTTAAAGTCATGGTGCAAAAGGCATTGATATGGAAAAGTTCAGTGATATTGAATATGAAATATCTATATCAAGTAAAAGCTGCAGACAGCTGAGTCCTAATAAAAGGAGTTTAAAGGAAAAGTCTGGTCAGCAAGGAATGATCAATGGTTCATTATCTATACCTTAAAGTAATAAGGTCGCAGAGATTTAATGAATTTAGCGTTAATGAGTAAAAAATAAAAATAATAATTTTCGTCACGATCACTGAGTCTGGGAGCGGCCATTAGTGTTGCGCCGTTGCCATTTTTTGGCCCCGATACCGATACCCGATACCTGGCTGTGCAGTATCGGACGATACCGATACCATAATTATGTAAAATAATTGCCATCATGGCTTTGTCAAGCTGCTGCCTACCTTTGTGAAGCATTAAAAAATCTAATATAGAGTGAATCCAGTAGAACTTTTTATTGCCTACCAGGAGTGGGTGACAATAGTTGAATAAACTTATGGCTCTCAAAATGGTATCGGTGCCCTATTTGTTGGTACTCGCCGATACGGATACCGCCATTTTAGGGCAGTATCGGGGCCCCGTCTGATACTGGTATCAGTATCGGTGCAACACTAGCAGCCATTTTTGCCCAAATAAAGTAACACCTCACTCCTGACATCTTC